TGGAGGTAAGTCTATCGCACACCCCGAATAAACATGAAACTCACCAGAGTTTGCATATGATGAACTAATTTTTGGAAGGGTAGTTTAATAGTTCGCACTTTCACCCATACACATTTGGTATTCGCTCAAAATATATGGCAAATTGAGCTTTTCAACAATCTATTAATTCGTGAGGACTGAAATTAGCCTTGAATTAAAATCTATTACAAAAAAGGCTAATTAAATAATAATGCATTTTATAAGTTTCTGGAGGTTTTTGAATTGAGTTAAGGCTATCAAAGTTACAAAAACTCGATGAGGGGGGGGAGAACAGAAAAGTGATTCAGAGATGTAAAAGGGGCAGACGTAAAGGTAGAGAGTCGGGAAAAGGTGAAACGAGTACTGTGGAAGTGGTCGAATATGATATACAATGGGGTCATGGTAGTTTGAAGTCACAAGTCAACTGCAGGTTTATGGACATTTTTGACGTATGGTTACACGTTCCCCAGGCTGCACCACGTGGAGGTAAGTTTATTGCGCACCCTCTCTCACACTATATGGACAGCTCTGTCAGCAAATACATCAGATTACATCCACACAACCACATTTGGTCCCATTAGCCTCTTTGGTGTCGTGACAACTCCCCAGAAGGAGATTTTTCCCCCACTTCATTGTATGCCAAGATCTGTAAGAAGTTAGGAGAGCAAAAACTCAGCTAGAGTCTTGAATTGTTTGTAGATCATAAGGTTGTGCTGGGCCAATTAATCAGTTGCTACGTCGGTTATTACCTCACCCCAAGTGGCCTCATTCAATACATATGACATGCACCTTGTGTCACTGTCACATCTTCTATCTATATATTGCCCACAGAAAGATACTTACGTCATAATACAACTCGCACTCCCACTGCCAACATGTCCTTCTCTCACACTGTAAATTGCCCATTTCAACCACTTCCTCCTACACAGACGAAGCCTTTACATCTCAACACCAAGATTTACCACTATTATCCAGCCTCTCCTCTACCTCCTCTGCCTCCTCTTCACCATTTCACCTCTTCATCGCATCCTTTTTCTACTGCCATTCCTCCTATTCCTTCACCTCATTCTTTAAATCTACTTGAAATGCATCACCTCTTTCCTCCTCAAACAATAACTCCAGTGTACACATATCCAATGCTCCCACTTCAACCCCTCCAAAAAATCCATTTCCTATTTATCCTCTTCTTACTTCGTCTCCTACTCCACCTCGAACTCCTCCTTCTTCTCCTGTGACTTTATTTCCAACGTCATCTTCACTGCTCTTATCAACCTCCTCTCCTACTTTGGGCTCCAGTCCAACAGGTACTCTCTCTTCTCTGCATCATGTTCCCTCCTTCTCCCAGCTAGCCCTTCTCACCTCCATTGATACCACCCTCACTACCACCCTCACTATCTCTCTCGATACCTCCATCTCGATTTCCTCCACTTCCTCTCCCACTTCTTACCCCATTTCCCCTGCATCTCCACCTCCACCTTTCCCCTCTCATCCGCCTCCTACTTTCTGTTCCTCTTCCTCTTCATTGACTCCTACCTCTCTCCCCAAACCAACTTTCCGCTGCTCCAATTATTCCCTCAGCATCCACCGCACCAATCACCATTCCCATAATCAGATTCTTCCAATTTCTACTAAAATCCGCCTTCCACATTCTACCGAATTGCCACCACGTCCACCTTCACCACCAACTCCTCTTCCAGCTCCAATGTGCCACTCCATTCTTCTTTACAAAACAAACAATCATTCCACTTACGCACACTACCACAACTCGCCTACCCCTCCTCCTCCCACACCTTCCTCCTCTGCCTCCTCTCACTCCTCTCCCCCACCTCCAACATCACCTAACACACAGCACTCCTCAATTCCCACGAGACAGCATCCACACTCGCCTCCTACTCCGCCCCCTCATCCCCCTCATTCTCACTTATCGCCTCCATCATTCACCCACTTCCTCCTTCCCCATCCCCGAGGAAAGACACCTAGTCATTTACTTGTTCACCACTAAGAAACACATCAGTGACACCAAGCGCCGCACACACTGCCCAATATGTTACAAGAAATTCTGACAACAAACACTGCTTGCTCGCCATCTCAAAGTCCATTCGAGGGAAGAGCAACTTGACTGTCCAAACGACACCAAGAGCATCCCCACCGACAGTACCTGCACGACCGATGGAAAACGTTTGGTGTGTGAAGTGCGTGATGGCAAATTCACTGCATCATCTAATCTCATTGACCACAAGAAACACAAGATTGCCCTTCCATCTCCTCCACCACCTCCACATACGCCTCCACCTTCCTCTCCTCTACCTCCTCCTACTCTTCCTCTTGCCTCTGCTACCACCACCACCATCACCACCGACATTTGTAGCCCGCAAACATCGAGGTCTAATCTCGAATTGCCACATCCTACAACATATCTATTTGTCCCATTTCATGTCACATTCACCTCAAATGGCGTGGCTTTCATGCCTCCACCTCTCTCCGCCTCCGCTCCAATCAAGTCCTCCTTTTGCCCATCCCTTAGCATAGGCCTCTCACGCCACATCCCCTCCTCTATACACTTCGCCCCCAACTCTCCTACTCCTCCCCCTCTTCCTCCTTCTCCACCATCAACTTCGCCTCTACCTCCACCTCCCTTTTCATCTCCACCTACACACCATCTTCCTCTTACTGATGCTCATGTGAATGTTGAGGCTGGTTCTGCAATGAGACACACAAGTCTCCGATCAGCCACTCCCTGTATCACACGCGCAACATCCACGCTCAATTCCCCCACCATCACCATCACCAACACCAACAACATTGCCCAAACAACCCAACACAGCGACACCAGCAGTCTCAGCCACGCCGCCAAATCCAACAACCACAGCCTTCTCCACATTCATTTACTCCCTTCACAACGTCAACTCCTCGAAGTGCAATTCCACCTATTCTCCACAGCCACACCTTCCTCTCTCTTTTCACTACCCTCACCACTCCTTTCACAATTCCAATTCCCAAGACAAAATGTAAAAGAAATCAAGAATTTCACCTACTTCTCTTCCCACTTCATCCAACACATTTCGTTTCCATCTCTTGTCTCTTTTATCTTTTTCATATTTCTTTTATAATTAAGCCATTTTCACATACACACACACACTTCATGGACACAGTGTTGCTTTTCAGTCTACTTGAACAGACCCACGCTGATGAAATCTTGAGTCCCATTTACAGTGTTCGTTCCAGATGTGCCAACACATAAAATGCAAAATAAATAGAGAATTTCACCTACTGCACATCTCAACTGATTCAACATATTCTACCATACATTTTCCATTTTTATTCTCTTCCATCATTTCCGAAATTATTTCCTTAATTAAGCAATTTTCAACTAACGCATACGCATACGCCCACACAAGCACCTCATGAACATAAAAAACTACATATTAGGCAACTAAATCATGAAACTATGATGAGGTGTTATGTGTGTAATTGATGCTGATATCAGAGTTAAGCTGCACAAGTTTCCTTGGAATTAATAGCAAAATGAGGTATGAAAGTATACATAGGCATAGTGTTTGGTTTCGTTCCACTCGGTGTTCAAAGAACTGAAATAAAAAGCGCAACTCATTCGTATCTTTAAATATTTTACTGGATACTAGAATGTATCGGCTTCAATATCTTATGCCTTGAAAAAAAAATGGCTCCACCAGTCTTTAATACTCTCTTTACCGCATTTTGACAGCCTTTCCCGGCTTTCGCTGAGCTCTGAGTACTACTGACAAAATTTCATCTACATTGCATTGTGTATTTTTTAGCTTCTAATAACAGCACATGAGTATTTACTAGACAATACCGAAAAGGAGGGTTCACACGTTCAGTCTTCCATACACGCCTGTAACATTATACGTGAAAGTCTTTTTTCAAGTTAGTGGGGTTTACAAAAATAAACCGATTCTCGATACTTAACCAGGTTCATTAAAACTATAAAGAAAAGTTATCCACAGTGTTTGCTTTTGATGTTGTGAATAATACACAAATAAGCTGTTTAAACCTTGATCATGCTTTCTGGCAAAATCTTCCAGTATAGGGTTCCTCTCGAAAATAGTTAAGTTGCTTCAACAAATTGAAGGAATAGAGATTACACCACCTGTTTCGAGCAGTCACATAAGCTCAATCATTAAGTGCTACATTGCATAGACTACTGAATTGCGATTGGCTGAGAGCGTTCTGAACCATTGGGCTTGTGCTTGTTATACGATCAGAAGTACGCCGAATTCTCAAAATGTCATATCGCGAAAGGGGTTCCTTTTTGAACAACGACGGTAAAGTTGTGCAATGTACAATACATTATCAAAAGAGAGGGGAGTGCAATAGAATTACCTTCACGTAGAGCACTCTGGGCAACGTATTCTCATGGCAAAATAGTCTACTAACTGGCAGCTGACGTCAAAATACCATAACACGACTGTATGTCATATTCCCCCCCCATTTCCGCAGTACTCACCTCACCTCTTCTCTACCTTTGTGTCTGTCTGTCTGTCTGTCTCCTTTACAACTGTGAATCACTCTTCTGTTCCCCTCTCAACTTCTTGTGACTTTGATGTTCCTCCCCTCTGTGAAGTCGGAAGACAACTAAAGGGCCAATGTTAGTAATCATAACGTCTCTCATTTGATATAAATAAGTCCTATGAAAACCTAATGTATGTTAAAGCCCAGCAACTCAAAAGTGACAAGCAATCGTGATTGACAGATCTGAACACAAGCACAGAGAGGTACTTTATTATTACTCATATGAATGGTCCTTAATGCTTTCCTAGAAATAGCCATGCACATGTACCCTAGTAGCATGATGGGCAACCAGATACAATGAAGGAAAAGGGGGGTCGTAAGTGTTATTGTGCTGATAAATGTGGTGGTGATATTGGTGATCGGAGACGGGGGTCGAATAAATTAATCTACTGGAAAGAGTTGATCCGAACTTCATATAGCTCATCAAATGGCTTGGTGAAATGGTAGTCAACGGCTCTGCAATGCTGACAACACAGTAATTGACTATATTGGCTGAAGTATGGTAGAGGTCGAAGTTTATTCACTGATTCATTGTCATCCTCATTTCTATCGAATTCGGAGCGAGGACTTAGAGGTTGGAGACCACAGGATTTGCAGGAAAGATGATCAATGCAACAAGGGGAACAGGCAAAGAGATCGTAGGTATAGAGTCCTCCAATTAAGAGTGTTGATCCTGTTATGAAATATACACTTTAAGAGGGATTTCCTATGTCAGAAAATTTTGCCACCTATTTTTTAATCAAGTAACACTGCATAACTTGAGTAAAGAAAAAGACTTCCTAAGCTTATTCCCTATTTAAACAAACAAATTCAAACGTAGCCAATTTTCAAACAATTTTACTATGATCAGAATATGGGGTGTGCGATAGACTTACCTCCACGTGTTCCACCCTGGGCAACGTTTACTAACACGGCAAAAAAGTCTATTAATCGACAGTTGACTTCTGACTTTAAACTACCATCACCCCGCTGTATGTCATATTCGACCCCTTCCACAGTACTCACCTCACCTTTCATCTACCTATGTGTCTGTCTCTTTTACATCTTTGAAACGCTCTTCTGTTCCCCCCCTTCTTTCGATTTTTTTTCACTTTGATGTTCCTTCCCCTCTGTGAGGCCTGAAGTCAACTAAAGGGCTAATGATAACTATCACAAAGCCTGCCATTTGATACAAATAAATAAAGGATCAAAATATGAGCCTTTTTGTTTCAAAAGTATTGAAACTTTTACTTGTGTTGAGGCATCTTGAACCACCAAAGAATTGTCGTAACTAACATTTAATGTGGAAAATTATAATACTGATAAATGCTCAAAATGTGTATCAAATAGTACTTTTTTATATTCAAGAAAGTTAGATTTAAATAATACTCTACCCAGATCTTATCACTGCCATAGTAGCATCGAGTTATAAATGGCAAGGTCCAACTCACCATTCCATGTACTATTGCAGGATTTGCACACGATTTGCGGTAGAGTATCGATGGAGCCTTCAAGATTACTCCTCTCAGGATCAATACTTCTGGTGCAAGACATACAGACCGCATGAAGGAATCGTTTTTGACTAACTGAAGAACGATGTCGACCCTGATTGTGAGCACGGAAACCATGATGATGAGACTGTTGTTGGACCTGCTGTTGTCGTGGACCTGTACAACCAGGAGGTGGAGCAAGGTCATTCTGCATGATATGACCACCTGAAGCTGACGAATTTGACCCAATGGAAGAAGTTGGTGTTGGTACATTCCAGGATACCTAGAGTAGGAAACACAAAAGATCGCATACACTTAAAGTTTGAGTTTTTTTCACGCAAAAAACACTTTGCATTATCTTGGCAATCCTTCAAGATAAGATAGGTATTACTAAGGTTTAGCAGAGTCATCTGGCCTAAATTGTGGCACCAAAGTAGAGAGAAGACAGTAGGTAGAGGATGTAGAGGGGTTATGGCAACCGCACGAGAATGTCAGACAAGTTTGTGTGCTAAAACCGTCGACGTACTCAGTCAAGACTACATTATGCCGTACAAACATTGTTCTTTAATTGGCTGGGACCAGCCTTGCCAGTGTTGCCCAGTCATTAAGAAAAAATATTTAAGTTACAGGTTGGTTCAACTCTGTAGGAGGTTGAGATCACCACTACGACAAGTCGAGATAGTTACGTTGCGGAGATTAGTGATGAACAAGATAAAAGGTTCGGAAACACTTGTGGAATCAGTCTTCAATGGAATATGGTTTTTGAAATGCAGGTGAGTACGACCCTCTATTCACGAGAGTCAATATTAACTGAAGCATTTTTCCAGGAGCCTTTATAGCTGTGATATAATTGGCCAGGACACCCCAAAACGCTCAAACCATGAGGAAAAAAGTCCACACACGGCGCAAAATGAGTTACGCAGAAAACCGCAGAAAACCCCATCCATCTATGTAGTAAATTTCATGTTGTGACTACGCATTCCCATCCCAAATCGTATCTTCGATAAGGCCTTCTTTATTTACTAGGCTTGGGGTGTGCGATAGACTTACCTCCACGTGGTGCACCCTGGGCAACGTATACTCATACGGCAAAATAGTCTATTAACCGGCAGTTGACTTCTGTCTTCAAACTACCATCACCCCACTGTGTGTCATATTCGACCCCTTCACAGTACTCATCTTACCTTTTCTCTGCCTTTGTGTGTCTGTCTCTTTCACATCTCTGAAACACTCCCCTATTCCCCCTCCCCCCTCCCGCTCGATAATTTGTCACTTTGATGTTCCTCCTTCTCTCTGTGAAGCCCG